TTCTATTTTTTGTATCTATTTACTCGGCGTAACATCATCTTTTATATTTTAAAAAAAAAAAACTTATGTGTTGTGGTCCTTTTGCATTGAAATAAAAAAAATAATTTTTTCCCCCAAAAAAAAATTGCAAAACCCACCATTTTATTCTTTAGAGCCTTTTTTTTTTTTTTTTTTTTTTTTTTTTTTTTGTCACACGGCATTTGCGCGGCATATTTTCAAATGCAACTTTTTTGGGAAAAAATAAAATTTAATTGTTGGGGAGGAGTGGGGCGTGTCTGCGCGGGGGGGGGGGGGGTGTCTGCGCAAGGGGGGGGGGGGTAGGGGGGTGCATGCCATCTTCTCACACCACGTTCTTGCTGCTGCAGAGTTTGAAGCGGCTCGTAAACGAGCCAAGAAAGCCAAGCAGACCTTCGAGCAGACGAAGAAGGAAAGGTTCGATCGGTTCAACGCTTGCTTCGAGTCGGTGGCGACCAACATCGATGAGATCTACAAGGCCTTGTCCAGAAACAGCAGCGCTCAGGTGAGACCTCCGAGACCTTCCTCGTGGATTCTCCAAAGAGGCCCCTCGTGGATTCTCCAAAGAGGCCCCTCGTGGATTCCCCATGGAGGCCCCTCGTGGATTCCCCATGGAGGCCCCTCGTGGATTCCCCATGGAGGCCCCTCGTGGATTCCCCATGGAGGCCCCTCGTGGATTCCCCATGGAGGCCCCTCGTGGATTCCCCATGGAGGCCCCTCGTGGATTCCCCATGGAGGCCCCTCGTGGATTCCCCATGGAGGCCCCTCGTGGATTCCCCATGGAGGCCCCTCGTGGATTCCCCATGGAGGCCCCTCGTGGATTCCCCATGGAGGCCCCTCGTGGATTCCCCATGGAGGCCCCTCGTGGATTCTCCATAGGAGCCCCCTCGTGGATTCTCCATAGGGGCCCCCTCGTGGATTCTCCATAGGGGGCCCCTCGTGGATTCTCCATAGGGGGCCCCTCGTGGATTCTCCATAGGGGGCCCCTCGTGGATTCTCCATAGGGGGCCCCTCGTGGATTCTCCATAGGGGGCCCCTCGTGGATTCTCCATAGGGGGCCCCTCGTGGATTCTCCATAGGGGGCCCCTCGTGGATTCTCCATAGGGGGCCCCTCGTGGATTCTCCATAGGGGGCCCCTCGTGGATTCTCCATAGGGGGCCCCTCGTGGATTCTCCATAGGGGCCCCTCGTGGATTCTCCATAGGGGGCCCCTCGTGGATTCTCCATAGGGGGCCCCTCGTGGATTCTCCATAGGGGGCCCCTCGTGGATTCTCCATAGGGGGCCCCTCGTGGATTCTCCATAGGGGGCCCCTCGTGGATTCTCCATAGGGGGCCCCTCGTGGATTCTCCATAGGGGGCCCCTCGTGGATTCTCCATAGGGGGGCCCCTCGTGGATTCTCCATAGGAGGCCCTCGTGGATTCTCCATAGAGGCCCCATGGACCTGACTCTTACCCTATCTTCCTATGGGCAGGCTTTCCTGGGACCGGAGAACCCCGAGGAACCCTACTTGGATGGAATCAACTACAACTGTGTGGCCCCGGGGAAGCGGTTCCGGCCTATGGACAACTTGTCTGGAGGAGAGAAGACGGTGGCGGCTCTGGCCCTGCTCTTCGCTATCCACAGGTAAGTGGGGAACCCGGCTGTCCTGACCCGTTGGGTCCATATTGGTTGGTAAAGTGGTCACAGCAATGCCACCGAACCCCAAAGTGCTACTTACCTTTTATTTATTATTATTATTATTTTATTATTTTATTAATTATTATTTTATTAATTTTATTTATTATTATTTTATTTATTATTTTATTTTTTTAATTTTTATTATTTTATTAATTTTTTTTAGTTATTTTTTTTTTTTTTTTTTTTCCCTGTACTACGGTTTTCCCTTTTTTTTTGCTCGTTAGTTACAAGCCGTCGCCGTTCTTCGTTCTGGATGAGATAGACGCTGCTCTGGATAACACCAACATCGGGAAGGTGAGCGCGTTCACTATATCCGCCCTCCCCGGACCCGCGTTCACTATATCCGCCCTCCCCGGACCCCGCGTTCACTATATCCGCCCTCCCCCGGACCCCGCGTTCACTATATACAGTCTCCCCGGACCCCGCGTTCACTATATCCGCCCTCCCCGGACCCCGCGTTCACTATATCCGCCCTCCCCGGACCCCGCGTTCACTATATCCGCCCTCCCCGGACCCCGCATTCACTATATCCGCTCTCCCCGGGCCCCGCGTTCACTATATCCGCCCTCCCCGGACCCCGCATTCACTATATCCGCTCTCCCCGGGCCCCGCGTTCACTATATCCGCCCTCCCCGGACCCCGCGTTCACTATATCCGCCCTCCCCGGACCCCGCATTCACTATATCCGCTCTCCCCGGGCCCCGCGTTCACTATATCCGCCCTCCCCGGACCCCGCATTCACTATATCCGCCCTCCCCGGACCCGCGTTCACTATATCCGCCCTCCCCGGACCCCGCATTCACTATATCCGCTCTCCCCAGACCCCGCATTCACTATATCCGCTCTCCCCGGACCCCGCATTCACTATATCCGCTCTCCCCGGACCCCGCATTCACTATATCCGCTCTCCCCGGACCCCGCATTCACTATATCCGCTCTCCCCGGACCCCGCATTCACTATATCCGCTCTCCCCGGACCCCGCATTCACTATATCCGCTCTCCCCGGACCCCGCATTCACTATACCCGCTCTCCCCGGACCCCGCATTCACTATATCCGCTCTCCCCGGACCCCCGCATTCACTATATCCCCTCCCCCCGGACCCCGCATTCACTATATCTGGTCTCCCCGGACCCCGCATTCACTATACCGCTCTCCCCGGACCCCGCATTCACTATATCCGCTCTCCCCGGACCCCGCATTCACTATATCCGCTCTCCCCGGACCCCGCATTCACTATATCCTCTCTCCCCGGACCCCGCATTCACTATATCCGCTCTCCCCGGACCCCTCCCCGGACCCGCATTCACTATATCCGCTCTCCCAGTCTAATAAAGTGCTCAAGTAACTGATCAACAGATTGCACAGCTAATTTCAGAGATGGGTTTCTTCGCTCGGTATCAGTAGAGCCAACTTAGTTCCTTTTATAGATCGGCGCCATTTTTACTGGTTTTTGTGCTTTTCTTTCTTCCTCTGTAGGTGGCCAACTATATTAAAGAGCAGTCGATGACCAACTTCCAGGCGATCGTCATCTCCCTGAAGGAGGAGTTCTACACCAAGGCCGAAAGTTTAGTTGGCGTTTACCCCGAGGTAAGTGAGCGTCGGGATGGAACCATCGACCTGGACTCCGATGTTGGGGGATGTGCACTGCATTTGTACATGTGATAAAGATGCCTTTTTTTTGTTTTTTTTTTATTAATTTTTTTTTTTTTTTTTTTAATTTTGTTTTGTTTTTTGTTTTTTTTTGTCTTTTGCAGCAAGGTGACTGTGTGATCAGCAAAGTACTGACCTTTGATCTCACCAATTACCCAGATGCCAACCCAAACCCCAACGACCAATAGCGGACATCGCCTTCGGGACTTTTATAAAAACTTTTGATTTGTGGACCCCGGCTCCCTCCTTTCCCCTGTTTACCCCAAAACTTGATTGGAGGATGTTTCCTTCTTTTTTTTTTTTTTTATTTTTTTTTTTTTTTCTTCATTTTTTTGTTCTCCTTTTTTTTAATTTTTTTTTTCTCTTTTTTTTTTAATTTCTTTTTTTTTCTCCCTTTTTTTTCTCCTTTTGTTCTCCTTTTTTTGTTTCTCCTTTAATTTCTTTTTTTCCTTTTTTTTTTTTTTTTTTTAATTTTTTTTTTTTCTCCCTTTTTTTTTTCTCCTTTTGTTTTTTTAATTTCTCTCTTTTTTTAATTTCTTTTTTCTCCTTTTTTCTTTTTTTTTTTTTTTCTCCTTTTTTTAATCTTTTTTTTTTTTTCTTTTTTTTTTTTCTCTTTTTTTTTCCTTTTTTCTCTCTCTTTTTTTTTCTTTTTTAATTTCTTTTTTTTTTCTCCCTTTTTTTTTCTCCTTTTGTTCTCCTTTTTTTAATTTCTTTTTTCTTTAATTTCTTTTTTTTCCTTTTTTCTCTTTTTTTTAATTTCTTTTTTTTTTTTTTCCTTTTTTTTTTTTTTCTCTTTTTTTCTCCTTTTTTCTCTTTTTTTCTTTTTTTTTTTTTTTCTTTTTGTTCTCCTTTTTTTAATTTCTTTTTTCTCTTTTTTTTTTCTCCTTTTTTCCCTTTTTTTTTTCTCCTTTTTTTTTTTTTTTCCGTTTTTTTTTTTTTCTCCTTTTTTTTTAACTTATTACAAAAAGCGATCTGATTTCTGTAACCCCAGGAATTATGTACACAGGCCCAAATCACAAAAGCCACAAAGCAGTCTGGCAGACTTTACCCCCCCCCCCCCCCCCCCCCCCATGATTTTAATCATTGTTATGGTGTAATTATCACATCCGTTTTTTTTTTTTTTTTCTTTACCCCTTCAGTAATATCATGTTTAGTGCTCAACAAACCCCTCCCTCCCCAAAAAAAAAATGTTTCGTAGGTAATGGCTGCGCCTTTTATCACTTCTGCCGATGTAAGCGCTTCTTTTCTTACTTTTAGTGTTTTTGTTTTTCGTGTTTTGCAATAAAGAGAGTCTGACTTTTAAATGGTCTGTTTTGCATTCTTGACACACTTGTTACCCGGCCGGTGATTTCCCTCCATTCCAGGCCGGGTTTTCAGTATTCTGATCGTTTGACGGACAATCACTCCGCCGTAACACCGTACCCAATGTAATTCTATATTATTATTTTTTTTCTTTATCCTCTGGGTGTTAGAAAAACAGGGAAAACGGGCCAAACAGATTCCCCTCTTGGAAAGTAGACACTCGAAGCCGGGGGTGGCAACCTGCGAGAGGTGGAGATCTCACTGAACAAGAAAGAGATCAAAGATCACTGGGGTGCAAATTTTTTTTTTCTTTTCTTTAAATGGTAAAAAAAACCATGCGCAAGACTGAAGGGGAGGAGCCGGTACACCTGGGAAGACTGAAGGGGAGGAGCCGGTACACCTGTGGAAGACTGAAGGGGAGGAGCCGGTAAACCTGTGCAAGACTGAAGGGGAGGAGCCGGTACACCTGTGGAAGACTGAAGGGGAGGAGCCGGTACACCTGTGGAAGACTGAAGGGGAGGAGCCGGTACACCTGTGGAAGACTGAAGGGGAGGAGCCGGTTCACCTGTGCAAGACTGAAGGGGAGGAGCCGGTACACCTGTGCAAGACTGAAGGGGAGGAGCCGGTACACCTGTGCAAGACTGAAGGGGAGGAGCCGGTTCACCTGTGCAAGACTGAAGGGGAGGAGCCGGTTCACCTGTGCAAGACTGAAGGGGAGGAGCCGGTTCACCTGTGCAAGACTGAAGGGGAGGAGCCGGTTCACCTGTGCAAGACTGAAGGGGAGGAGCCGGTTCACCTGTGCAAGACTGAAGGGGAGGAGCCGGTTCACCTGTGCAAGACTGAAGGGGAGGAGCCGGTACACCTGTGCAAGACTGAAGGGGAGGAGCCGGTACACCTGTGCAAGACTGAAGGGGAGGAGCCGGTTCACCTGTGCAAGACTGAAGGGGAGGAGCCGGTTCACCTGTGCAAGACTGAAGGGGAGGAGCCGGTTCACCTGTGCAAGACTGAAGGGGAGGAGCCGGTTCACCTGTGCAAGACTGAAGGGGAGGAGCCGGTACACCTGTGCAAGACTGAAGGGGAGGAGCCGGTGCACCTGTGCAAGACTGAAGGGGAGGAGCCGGTGCACCTGTGCAAGACTGAAGGGGAGGAGCCGGTGCACCTGTGCAAGACTGAAGGGGAGGAGCCGGTGCACCTGTGCAAGACTGAAGGGGAGGAGCCGGTGCACCTGTGGAAGACTGAAGGGGAGGAGCCGGTGCACCTGTGGAAGACTGAAGGGGAGGAGCCGGTTCACCTGTGCAAGACTGAAGGGGAGGAGCCGGTTCACCTGTGCAAGACTGAAGGGGAGGAGCCGGTACACCTGTGCAAGACTGAAGGGGAGGAGATGGTACACCTGTGCAAGTGGTACACCTGTGCAAGACTGAAGGGGAGGAGCCGGTACACCTGTGCAAGACTGAAGGGGAGGAGCCAGAGTTCATCTTTAAAGTAAAATTCTTTATACAAATTGTAAATATTTGCCGTTTTTAGGGTATAAAATATCATCGTAAATATCGAACAATAATTGCCGCAGATCGAATAGAACACTTGAAATCGCCTAAAGGACACGTTCCCGTAGATCTTTTTTCCTCTTTCGTGTATTTACAGGCCGGGAATGACACCGCGACTCGTTACATAAAATTCCAGAGCAGTGACAACAAACAGGTATGTGATGGTAGATGCAAAAAAAAAAAAAAAAAAAACAAATGGAAATGAAGCGATCCCCCCAAATAGTTTGTGAAATATTATCGGTTAGTTTATCTGTCGGAAAATGTTTTGAGGGCATATTTTTCATTGGCTGTCAGTGGTGTGTTTGGTTCACCGATGAGTGATGAATGTTCATCGGAATCTGGGACTGAGCCGGTGCATCGGGATTTATGTCTCCGGGTTCATCTAGAGCTGAAACTTTTATTTGAATCGTTGAGTACGGGACACGGGCCGAATATTCATAAACCATGGGTTATAGGAGCCAACCTACGGGTGGTGGAACACTTGAAAGTTTGAGGGTCATCTCCGCTGCCACTGCTTGGACCGGGGTGGGGAATGGTCTCTTGATTCAAAACCAGAAGCCCCTAATTCCTCTAATCTTAAATTCGGCCCTTCCTTTCGGCGCAAGGCTTGGCCAACAAAGACCACCATGCCCTCTTCACGACGAAGGGGCACCCACTCATACACCATGTGTTATAGGAGCCGACCTACGGGCGGGTGGTGGAACACTTGCAAGTTTGAGGGTTCTCTCCACTACCGCTGCTTGGACCGGGTGGATGAATGGTCTCTTCATTCAAAACCAGAAGCCCCTAATTCCTCTAATCTTCTCCAAGCTTCAACTTCTAAACCAAAGTTCAGTCCTTCCTTTCGGCACAAGGCTTGGCCAACAAGGACCACCAAGCCCTCTTCACAACGTAGGGGCACCCACTCGTACACCATGGGTTATAGGTTATGTGGAACACTTGCAAGTTTGAGGTTTATCTCCACTGCCACTGCTTGGACCAGGGTGGGGAATGGTCTCTTCATTCAAATCCAGAAGCCCCTAATTCCTCTAATCCTTAAATTCATCCCTTCCTTTCGGCGCAAGGCTTGGCCAACAAAGGCAACCACGCCCTCCTCACAATGTAGGGGCACCCACTCATACACCATGGGTTATAGGAGCCGACCTACGGGTGATGGAGCACTTGAAAGTTTGAGGGTTATCTCCACTGCCACTGCTTGGACCGGGGTGGAGGAATGGTCTCTTCATTCAAAACCAGAAGCCCCTAATTCCTATAATCTAATCTTCTCAGGCTTCAACTTCTAAACCGAAGTCCGGTCCTTTCTTTTGGCGCAAGGTTTGGCCAACAAAGACCACCAAGCCCTCTTCACAACGTAGGGGCACCCACTCATACACCATGTATTATAGGAGCCGACCCATGGGTGATGGAACACTTGAAAGTTTGAGGGTTATCTCCGAGGCCACTGCTTGGACCGGGTGGGGAATTGGTCTCTTCATTCAAAACCAGAATCTTCTCAGGCTTCAACTTCTAAACCGAAGTTTGACTCTTCCTTTCGGCGCAAGGCTTTGCCAACAAAGACCACCAAGCCCTCTTCAGGACGAAGGGGCACCCACTCATACACCATGGGTTATAGGAGCCTACCTACGTGTGATGGAACACTTGAAAGTTTGAGGGTTATCTCTGCTGCCTGGACCGGGGTGGAGGAATGGTGCTTCCATTCAAAACCAGAAGCCCCTAATTCCTCTAATCTTCTCAGGCTTCAACTTCTAAACCTAAGTCCGGCCCTTCCTTTTGGCGCAAGGCTTGGCCAACAAAGACCACCAAGCCCTCTTCACAACGAAGGGGGCAACTACTCTTAAGATATGGACGAGAGGGGGACAGCTGTTGCTGCTGTTTGGTTCACAGATGTCCCAAAACTGTGGTTCAATCACTGGTTTCCAAAGGCTAGAAGATGGTTTTAAAAAAAATCTACCGCCTCACTTATTTCAACTCCACCAAAAACAGTCCCAAGGACCGTCAGATTTGCAAAATGAATTAAACCATCTCTTGTCCCAGGGAGCTGCACTATTACCCCCCCCCCCCCCCCCCCCACAAGGCAGGTTCTCAAGGCAATCTACTCAACTCTGTTCACGAAAACCCAACGGTGGGATCTGTCCTCTCCTGGACTTGGAATCCCTCAAAAAATTCCTGGTATGGAATTGGAAAAATGAAAAACGGAAGGAAAGGTGCGCTACTACCCATCCAGTCACTTTGAGGTAGCGGTGCTCGATCCGAGAGTGCCGGGATATTTGTGAACACCCTGGGAGCAGAGGACAGTATTGAAAGTTCTGGAATGTTCTAGAAAGCTCCGGAAAGGATATTGCGGACAGTCCTGGAGAGCATAGTGTGCAAAGTGGTCGTCTGCCACTGCAAAGCGTAGAAATCGATGTGGCGTGTAAAGGGGAACACGTAGATGGGGCATCTTGAAGGTCCACCTTGTCTCAGGAGGCAATTGCTGATTGAAAGTTCTGGAATGTTCTAGAAAAAACATGGTGGACAATTCCGGAGAGCATAGCGTGCAAAGTGGTCGTCTGCCACTGCAAAGCGTAAAAAATCGCTGATGTGGCGTGTAAAGGGGAACACGTAGATGGGCATCTTGAAGGTCCACCTTGTCTCAGAGAGGCAATGACCTGCTGATTGAAAGTTCTGGAATTTCTAGAAAGAACATGGTGGACAATTCCGGAGAGCATAGCGTGCAAAGTGGTCGTCTGCCACTGCAAATCGTAAAAAATCGTTGATGTGGCGTGTAAAGGGGAACACATAGATGGGCATCTTGAAGGTCCACCTTGTCTCAGAGAGGCAATTACTGACCTTGCTGATTGAAAGTTCTGGAATTTTCCAGAAAGAACGTGGTGGACAATTCCGGAGAGCATAGCGTGCAAAGTGGTCGTCTGCCACTGCAAATCGTAGAAATCGTTGATGTGGCGTGTAAAGGGGAACACGTAGATGGGCATCTTGAAGGTCCACCTTGTCTCAGAGAGGCAATTGCTGATGAAAGTTGCTGGAATTGAATTCTAGAAAGAACATGGTGGACAATTCTGGAGAGCATAGCGTGCAAAGTGGTCGTCTGCCACTGCAAAGTGTAGAAATCGTTGATGTGGCGTGTAACTGGGCATCACGAAGGTCCACCTTGATGGGCATCTTGGAGGTCCACAGGTCCACCTTGTCTCAGAGAGGCAATTACTGACCTTGCTGATTGAATGTTCCAGAAAGAACATGGTGGACAATTCCGGAGAGCATAGCGTGCAAAGTGGTCGCCTGCCACTGCAAAGTGTAGAAATCGTTGATGTGGCGTGTAAGATGGGCATCTTGAAGGTCCACCTTGATGGGCATAGATGGACATCTTGAAGGTCCACCTTGTCTCAGAGAGGCAATTACTGACATTGCTGATCGGAAATTGTCCACCATGTTCTTTCTAGAACATTCCAGAACTTTCAATCAGCAAGGTCAGTAATTGCCTGAGACAAGGTGGACCTTCAAGATGCCCATCTACGTGTTCCCCTTTACACGCCACATCAACGATTTCTACGCTTTGCAGTGGCAGACGACCACTTTGCACGCTATGCTCTCCGGAATTGTCCACCACGTTCTTTCTAGAACATTCCAGAACTTTCAGAGAGCATAGCGTGCAAAGTGGTCGTCTGCCACTGCAAAGCGTAGAAATCGTTGATGTGGCGTGTAAAGGGAACACGTAGATGGGCATCTTGAAGGTCCACCTTGTCTCAGGAGGCAACCTTGCTGATTGAAAGTTCTGGAATGTTCTAGAAAGAACATGGTGGACAATTCTGGAGAGCATAGCGTGCAAAGTGGTCGTCTGCCACTGCAAAGTGCAGAAATCGTTGATGTGGCGTGTAAGATGGGCATCTTGAAGGTCCACCTTGATTGGCATAGATTGGCATCTTGAAGGTCCACCTTGTCTCAGAGAGGCAATTACTGACCTTGCTGATCGGAATTGTCCACCATGTTCTTTCTAGAACATTCCAGAACTTTCAATCAGCAAGGTCAGTAATTGCCTCTGAGACAAGGTGGACCTTCAAGATGCCCATCTACGTGTTCCCCTTTACACGCCACATCAACGATTTCTACGCTTTGCAGTGGCAGACGACCACTTTGCACGCTATGCTCTCCGGAATTGTCCACCACGTTCTTTCTAGAACATTCCAGAATTTTCAGAGAGCATAGCGTGCAAAGTGGTCGTCTGCCACTGCAAAGCGTAGAAATCGTTGATGTGGCGTGTAAAGGGGAACACGTAGATGGGCATCTTGAAGGTCCACAGATGCCATGAGTCCACCTTGTCTCAGAGAGGACATTACTGACTTTGCTGATTCCACGATAAAGAGATCGATCTGCTCTAAAATCGTAATTCGTTGTAAAGACCGCAGTACACGCGTCTCAGATACAGAAGGTTGACGGGTTTCAGCTCACATGGCTTTAGTCATAACTAGGGTTGCGCCCAAATTTTCGGCCGATGTTGTGCCATCCGGCTAGAACTGCCTGGATCACAATACTGGCTGAACAGATGTACT